CTTGGAGTAAGAACAACTTGTGAAAAGAATTGTCGATTAAATCTCCAAGTAGGAATGTCTGTATTAAATAAAATTCCTTTTCTTGAAATATTTAACTCATCTAATTGTGGCATTTTTTCCGTTCTTAACACGTAATTGGTTTTGTGGATGATGACATTAATTTTTCAACATAATCTGCTCGAGCGAGTACAATTCTTCGAAAACTTCCAAGATGCGTTTCTAAAATGTCCCCATGTTTTTCCTGTAGTAACTTCATCCATAGTGTCACATCACCTTTTGCATAATAAAAGATTGCTAATATATCTTCAACAATAAGGGATTTGGTCGAGTTAAATACTTGTAATAAAATCTTGCGACGTATACAAGAATAATCGATACAATTATTCCTATAAAATCTTTTGCTCCTAGTGAATTTATTATGTTCATGGTAACTTTAGAAAGAATTTTTTTTTTTTGTAAAAAGAATTTGAGGAATAGCGATTATTATATAGCAATTTTTTTTCACCAATCTGCCCAAATAAGAAAGTTTGCAAAGATAGGAAATTGTCATTATCATGAATGAACATATATAATAAGAAGTGAAAAATTACACAAGACAATGGCGCAGTACTTTTTGTTCTGCTTAAAAGGAAATACCAATCTTTTTTATAATTTTATTGTGATCATTCCCCGTAAGATTTTAGAAATATGGGACGTCATTTCCTAGATAATACCATACTATTATTTTTTTTTCCTTAAATTTATTAAATTCATTCATTCATGTTGTTCTCAATAAATTGAATCTTTTTTTTCTATCGGTTCCATTTCTTAAATAAATTCAAAATTGAGCGTTAAGATAATAGATTGGACAATGTTTATATCACCATGTCGATTATATTAATTGAATTATCACATTATACAAAAGCTTCGGGCGACACAGCATATGATCGGGCGAACTTTACAAATCAAAAAATTAGATTTTTTGGATTATGTATAAAACGGTAAATCAAGATCAAACATTTTTACTTAAGTTATCTTAGGGCTGAAATAATTAATTGAGTAAATTACATATTTTATACTTCAAAGGTTTGGGTAAAGTCACATATACAAGGTCGACCATTATATTTCATATTTTAAGTTATGTAGAAAAGTATTACAATAAATTTTAAACAATACATTTGAGACAATTTTTTTGAATATTTCATATATAAATCATATGTAATTTAGGCCATGCAACTTCGATTTTTCGGTTCACGTCACCCGGCCGGGTCACATTTTCAAATTTTAACAAATATATAAAGTTTATCATGTGACTTATAAAGTGTAATTTTATTGGTAGATTAAAGCTTTATTGTATTATCGTTATGTATAATTCCTTTCTTACAACTCATTAGTTTCATGCATCTTCCCAAGCAATACATTGTGCTGAATTTTTTTCTCAAACTAATATTTTTGATGGGTTAAACTTAACTTCAAAATCTGCTTCCAGTCAGGTGATAAATATAGAATCGATATATTTCCAAAAAATCTTTTATTTTTGTTTCCAATCCTTCAAAACTTTAGAATTGTGACTTATTTTTACATATATAATAGGCATTTTGATGGAGTTAAGATGATTTTGAAATGAAATGTGATTGTCTTATGATTAGGGCCGGTCAAATAAAATTTTAAAATTGACACACAGTCACTTTTTTTTTCTTTTTCATGTGTAAATTTTTTTATATGTATTTTTATTTCGCCGCCACTTTCTTTTAAACAAAAATCTGGGGATATTCAAAATTGCAAATTTCAAGAAATATGATTGGCTGAAATTTATATCAGTCGAATCTTTTGCGGTTTTGCCTTTAAAAAAAAAATTTGGCAAAACGTCAAAACTAGTTTAAATTTTGCCACCTGTCTGTCTAAACTTCAGGGATTTGCCAGGAAACCTTACCCTGAGTGCAATTCCCATCCCTACATGTTTGTCGAACGTTTTCCTGATGACCAAACGTTTTATCAACATTTTTACTTGTGCACCTGTACAATATTATTTAAGGATAGCAAGGTTTTGGGGAGAAATTCAAAATTACATTAAAATTTGTTTGCATTTCATAAAAAGTTAATTAACTAATAATGTTCAAAATTCATTTATTAGAATTCAATTTTCAAGTTTGACTGCGAACTGGTCATAAACATTCGAATAATCTATTTTAGTGGCACAGTAAACGATGAAATAGAATGTCAAGAAAATTCTCGTGATATTTCGTCACCGGTGCGGTGTCACATCCCCCTCGCGTTTCATTTTTTACCGACATAAATTTTTCAGTAATGGAAAATCTATTCATCATTCACTATCCTTCACGTAATGCCGGCCATTTCATGATAATTATGGGACACAGGGTAAGTCGTGAGGAAATAAAAAGACCTGAGGCGTAATTACATCTATCTACTACCACCATTGATTTATAATATAATTCTTTTGTATAAAATAAAAATTGTGAAGGAACCTAAAAACACATGAAAAATCGTGAAAAAAATTTTAATCGTTACACGAAGCAATTGGACACCCCAAAAAATAACAATGAAATATCAAAATAAAGGAAAAAAGCTTACCTATAAAAACTTACCTATACCTTCCGAAGTGATCCAACTCCAAGTTAAACATTTGAAAAAAAAAAAGAAAATTACAATGAAAAAAAAATCAAAAAATTAAAAAAAATAAATAAACTAAAACAACTAACAAAACCATGCATACTGCAACCTAATGAATAAAAAAAAAGAATTAGCTTTAAAAAAAAAAAATAAAAAAAATATAATCGATCGCTGTATTAATTACATAAAGTACCGGAAAATGTGTTAAAACATAAATGCTTTAACAACAATGGAAATTTTTTTTAAAAAAAATAAAATGCTTAAATTGCTACAACTATAAAAATGTACAATTTTGTGGAAATGTATATTATTTTCTTGGCAGATGATTTGTTTGCGTGTGATCAAAGTGGCTACGATTTATAGATTAATCGAAACCGAAAATCGAATGTTAGAACGAAACTCAAAAAAGATTAATCCGGTTCTGAAATAGTTTGAATAAATTACAATCCCTTAAGTTTTTTGAACTACAAGAAAAATTATTTAAAGTTTATAATAATTTGACAGATTTTTCCAAGACGATATTAACCGAATATACCGAGTGCCAATTTAACATTAATTGGAGTTAGATTATGAATTTTGAATAATAAAATATCTTTAGATGATATGATTCAATTCTGTCAAAATTTTGAAAAACAATGAAAATAAATTAACGAGATTTGGATTCTTTTTTTTTGCATTAATTTCGGGAATATACGATTTCTATCAACTATTCAAAACATTTATTAATTTTAATTCACTTATGGTGGAAAGACTTATGGAAATTATTGCTTGTAGATTTCAGAATATTTCTACAAACAATTAGAACAATTTACTTGCGATTTTGGACACAGTTTCTTATACCTAATTGCGCTTTTCTTTCTTTGGACTCGCAACTCACTACTTTTTTTATAAAGTAAGTTCTTCCTTTGACAAACGCTTTTAGAATTAACAAATATTTTCAAAATGCAGGTGCACTAGTATTTCAATTGCAGATCTTCCGAATTTATTATCAGAGTAAGTTCTCACTTCTCTCGAAAGAGCAAAACAGATATGAACGGTATAAATAGACAAGTTTAATCAATTTTAAAAAAAATATAGGTAAGTCAATGTGGTATGGCAAGAACCTCCAAAATCCTCTGTTATTGAAGTCTTTAAGTCGAGCTACTAAACTAGTGCTAGGGCATGGATAATCTCAAATCTCTAAGACGATCTGGTACTAGACCCACTTGAGCACATAGTAGGAATTTTGAGTATTGAGATACCACTAATTCAAATCTTCTATTGTTAAGGTTGGCGACATAATATTCAAGATGGAGACTGTAAACTGAAATATATAGTCTTAAGCTTTTGTTGTTGAGTCAAAGAAAACATCGGAAAAGGAATTGGGTAATGTACAGATGCACAAACACTCTATGATTACAATTACGAAAATCAGGGCAGACAAGCAACGTCGTACGAGAAATGGAAATAAGTTGTATTATTCTTAAAATGGGTTATAGTTATTATTCTTAGTGAAGGAAAACAACCCACAGTATGGTCACCATTACTAAATGAAATTAGTAACGACGTTTAAAAAATCCAAAGGATGCATCAAGATTTAGGAATTTGTGTTACATGGCTAGTTCTTTTCTTTGGTGTTTGATATGCACTTGAATTAATCATTGATGAAGAACACAGAGATCCCCTTGAATGTGATTCCGGTCCAAAGGTATATAAGATTTCCTGTATTCACTGTGTTTTTTTTAAAACGAATCATAACGAACTCGAATTATTTAATAAATTATTTCATGTAATATTTAGAACGATGACAAGGGTTGAATGGACGCGGAATTCAATTTCTTGTAATTGTGTACCCTCTTCAAACTTTTAAAGCGTAGATCATAATTTATAAATGTAATGGTGATGAATCTTTCTTTCTATTTTAGGTACCTTTTAAACTTTTCATAGTCAGACTTTGTCATCTCTCTAATTCTACTCGTAAAAAAATCTTCTTTGTACAGGCGATATGCTTTTTCTGGTTTAGCTTGATAATTTTTCATCTCCAGGTTGCTTTAATAAGTATACCTTTTTTGACTAGCAATATGGCGTCTCCTGATGGTAAGTACGTTTATTTCCGAGATTCTAGTCAAAATTTCATTAATTTTTATTGAAATATGTTATTACTTCGATTGCTTCCATAAGAACTGCTATAAGTTTATTCATCCTTTATAATTTTATTTTTTTAAAAAAAGGTTTGGGTTATATAGTACGTATCGCTGCGTATAAATTTTGCTCATTTAGAAAATAACATGATAGCAAATTGTGATGTGTAAACATATAATGTTGACGTGGGGCCATGTATTTTATAAATAATGTACACTATTAACCGCTTGCAACTAAATAAGCCGGCTCGCCTAGGATTGGCTTCTTGACTTATTGGCTTGCATTTGGTACCTTTGAAGAAAACTAATCCAAAGGCGTTTTCTTAAAGAAAAACGCTTTTAAAGTGTTCTTTGAAGGAAAACGCATCCGGTGGCGTCTTTTTGAAGAAATTCGCTTACG